CATCAAGTACATCCAAGATACATATGAAGTTCAGGAAGATTTTAAAAATACAGGTACTTATTCCATTTTTCCCATCACTTTTCGTCACTTTATAACGAATATTCCTTATCCCAATTTTAGGATTTACGCCTTTTCCCATTCTTATTGGTTTATTTTTTTCTGACTAGCTGGACGCGATTGCTATTATTTGGTTTATCTTTTGTAATATAGAAAATAATAATATTTTGCAAAATTTTTCTCTAAGATTTTCATTTGAAAATTACAGGGTTTATTGCTTCTATTGTGTTGTGCTGTCCAACAGCTTCAATTGCTTGAACGTTTAATTCCTTTAATCTGCAAATTTATATCCTGGTTCAAATCAATCTATATACTATATTTATATCTTCCATATTAATATACTATTTTGATGCCTATCTTCATTATTTTGATTCATCCATCCAAATCTGTTTTACTCATCTTCGGTTTTAAGACATGCTATCGATAGAGTGTTTCTATCGATACCTTATGTCAGATGACAACGCCCCCGTCTTCCTCGACCGGCTGGACATAACACAAGACATGGATCAACCACTATGTCATTATTATATCAACTCGTCCCACAACACCTACCTAACGGGCCGACAATTTGGCGGCAAGTCATCTGTGGAGATCTATCGCCAAGTTCTCCTTGCCGGCTGCCGGTAAGCTTCCATTACGTTTTTTGTATTTTTCTTTTATCTAGCCTTTTCACAATGTCCATATTTATCCCCGTTAGAACTTTGCATTCGGTCCCAAAGTAATCTTGGCTTGATATGAAGACCAAGATGTTGAGGGCTCTGTTTTGTTCAAAATCTATTTTCGACATATAGACATGGTCTGACCTCGTTTTCGCAACTTGGTTGTGTTGCCAATTCGACCTAATTGAGCACACCTCGTCCTTCCAGCGTTGGACCGTCGACTAGCTATATACCCAGACGTTTCGCCGGCATCGTAGTCGGCATCGTCAGTGAGAATTGCCATTCTTAGTACTAGGCTACAATTTTTCAGAGACAAGTCAATACTTCGCCCAAATTTCTGTCGAATGGTTGTATTATTACTCCTGTTCTGGTACATCTATATTAGCCGACGAAACGTCTGGGAATCTACAAAGTTAACGGTCCTACTCTGGGAATTATTATAACTACTACAGCAGAGGACTTCAGACAAGGTGCGTTTAACAAGATCGTCCTGACGATACGACCAAGTTGCGAAAACAAGGTCAGACTACTTTTAGACTTGGCTAAGTTTTAATAATCCCATGTGACATAAATTTTTAAAGCTTTTTGTTGCATCCTTGCTTCCATAAGTCTATAGTTTATTCCTATTTTTATTCACAGAAGAGTGTAACAATCCTACTTCTATTCAATTAAGTTTGTATATTCAATAATTTGCATTTCTGATAAATATGAACCCTTATCATGGTTTTTCTATTTGCCAGTTGTATTGAACTGGATTGCTGGGACGGAAAAGGTGAGGATCAGGAACCAATCATCACTCATGGGAAAGCCATGTGTACAGACATTCTATTCAAGGCAAGTCGTCTATGTTCTGCTTCTTATTGCTCTGGTAGTATTTTCATCTTATAATATTGCTATATATTTTTATTTTTATTTTATACATCATCTCTTATACAACTTTGTTGGCATGACTAACTGAGATTTTAGTACTAAGTCTCTTCTGTATACCATACTGCAACATTTGCGATCAGCCTGGTTTGAATCAGTAGATCAAGGGGTTTTATTGGCTTGTTTTTTAATTTTTCGTTATTATATTCTTCTACGGATTTCTTGATACAATTTTCTCAGCAAGTTGTGTAGGACAGCA